GGTGGGGTGTCAAAAAGAGACTGTAACTCTTGGCTGAAGAAAGCCCTGCTTCACTGCCGCTGGGCTGCGGTGGATTCCAGCTGGGGATCACAGCCCAACTGGGAGCTGCGGAACAACGGGTGGTTTCGAACTGCTGACATTGCAGTTAGCAGCCCAACGGGGAACCCACGACGTCGCCAGGACCCCTGTTGAACACTGTGAAGCCACAGAGTGAAAAGGATCTCATCATTTGTAACAGGGCAGAAAGGACTGGACTGAGGCAAAAGAACGTTCACCATCTGGAGGTGGCTGCTCCGTTCCTTGTGACCCCTCGTGCGAAGAACGAACTGTCCCACCAGGCTTTCACGTCAACCTTTCGGAAGATGGTCAACACTGCCAATCCGGAGGCTGAGCGAGAGCTGGCTTAGCTATTTGCACCACCCGAGGGCTCCTGGGAACAGGGGAGGAATCATGTTCCAGCGGGAAAAGGGTGGAGTCCCTGGGCTCTGGGTGGAGCAAATTGTGAGGCCATTGCTGCTGCAAGTCCACCCAGAGGCTAGACGGCCCAGAGGCGCCTCTGTAAAAACGGCTTGGCTGCCTACACCCGAGAAATCAGCCATGGAAAGCTCTGGAACCCAGCGGCGCTGTGACACCTATGCGGTTTCCTTGAATGGGCCCTTGGCGACTGGGTCAGGAGAGGCAGAAAAGTACAAACTGGCAAGATTTCTCAACCTTTCAGGAGAGTGCCGTCAAAAGGCTGAGCTGTTTCAAACCTTCAATTTGTGTTGAAGCCTTGCTTTGAAGAACTCTCTTCTAAGAACAAGCCAGTGCTTTAGAGAGCTCCATTAAAGCCTCCATAAAATGAAGGTGTGGCTCTAAAAAGCTCTATCATTAATATTGTACTTAAAAAACGACAGTCACATGAATCAAAAGAAAATGCATGCATGGAAAAGTTTCAAAAAACAACAACAACAACAAAAAAACCACTGCCATTGAGTTGATTCCAGCTCCTCTGAGCGTCCCAGGAGCCAGAGAACTGTCCCCCTTTTAAAGGGTTTCAAATACTTTAAATCTGTGAGTAGAGAGCCTCATTTTAACCCACAGAGGACCTGGTTGTTCAAACCATTGACATTGGGGTTAGGAGCTCAGTAAGTGCAGTCGGATATACCACCAGAGCCCCTGGAAGGGTCAATTGAGTTATTAAATTTAGCCATCTGCTCAGAAAGTAAAAATATCTGTATACCGGGGATTGAAGGTGAAATTAAGATGTACATTTAAAAATACACTCCTGGGTATTCAGGGCTCCCTATATAATATACCATTTAATCTAAACTTTGGTAACTACTTTAAAAAAATAATCCTCAACTTGTATGGCATAAAATAGAGTTGAAGCTCTCTCTGTTGAGGTTTACATGCCCCTTTTTGCCAGGTCACACCTCAAGAGTGCACACACACACCCCTTTAAACTAGGGCACTCCCTGTCTTCCCAGCCCTGACCTGGAGCGAATACGGAAACTCTTGGGAATGAAGCACCTCCCGAATTGCTTCTTCTCATTCTCCCCAGGCCACATAGCAAACACAACAGAGCAAATCCATGCTATCAAACAGAAAAATGGCAGTCTTTAGTAAAAGATGAAGTTTTTCTAGAAGTTCCCATTTGTTAAGAGTTATTTCAGCAGGGTAGGTGAAAGGTGGGGTGAAGAGGGGGAGGTTGGGGGAACCAATGGAAATGATCGACACATAACCACACCCCACCATACCCCAGGGGGATGAACAGCAGAACCCATGGGGGAAGGGAGACAGCGGTTGTTGGTGTACGACATGAAAATATTAATTATTTATTATTTATTAAGGGGTCACGAGGGTGGAAGGGGGAGGGAGGGAAAAGAGAGGAGCTGATACTAAGCACTCAAATAGAAAGTAAATATTTTTAAAATAATGATGGTAACATATGTACAAATATGCTTGAAACAATTGATGTATGGATTGTTATAAAAGCTGTAAGAGCCCCCAATAAAATGATCTTTTCATTAAAAGGGGGGGCGGTAAGTCATCCGCTCAGATACTTTGTGCGAGAAGCGGCCTGGCAGGTCCATGTATTTATTTGTACAATTCCTTGTCAGTCCACAGTCCTTAGTTCTTAACTACAAATCCAACATTCAACCAGAATCCTCAGAGCCAGAGTCGACCCTCTTTAAGGCAGGCGTCCTCCGCTGTCCTCTAGGACATGGGGTCTGTGGATGTGCAGGGAAGGGAGGGTCCCTAGCTCCTTCCCACATAATCCTATCAGGTGTGAAACTCTGGTCCTTTCTGGGTTCCCAGTTTTCTGCTTCACCCATCTCCTGGATTCGGTTAAGGAAAACTGTCCCTAGCCTTCTCCTTGGAGGGTCCTTGCCTTCTGACCAAAGCTGGACTCTGGGTTCACACAGATCTCCCCTTCTCACCCCATACCCCACCACCCCACACTCTGACCCCAAACAAGACCTCAGCCCTCCAGCCTCCACCACCAACCCCAGCCCCTGCAGGCTGGCAGCATGAGTGGTTGGGACATCGGATAGTTAACTTTAAGGGGTGTCATAGCCAGTAAGTCTGTTGTCCCACATTGGGACCCAGTGTCCCCTCTGGGCCCCTTCAGCTCACTCAAGTTGCGGAGACTGAAATGGCACCCAGTACTACCCCTCTTTGGGTTCCTGAACCAAGCAAATACCATTTCTCCCTCTGCACTGAAACGCCCCACACCCCGCCCAGGCTGGGAGGACCTGGAGAAGCATGACCCCCAACACCAGCGACGGTGCCCGTGGACACCCAACCCAACAGGGGAGCGTTCAGTAACTCACACGACGGAACCCAGTGTTCCGAACGAAAAGCCTTAACCCAGTCAAGCCTCAACGGTTCATTTTCTCCCCTCACTCCTCCAGAAATAAAGCTGGGGTGCCAGCCCCGCAGGGTTGAGCTAAGCCATGGATGTCACCTCTCAGGGGCCCTTGCCTCCCCAAGTCCCCTGGTCCCCGCGCAGAGACAAGGGCTGGTCCGGCCTCCATCTCCACGTGGGCTCCCACTCACCGCGAAGATCAGCAGCAGCAGGGGCCACCCGAGGGCTCCACGCAGGGAGCCCGGCGGCCCGCAGGCGGCCATCGGAGCGCGGGCAGGGAGCAGACTGCGGGCTGCAGGGGCGCGGGGGTGGGTGCTCGCCTCTCTGCTGAGATCCTTTTAGTCGCCTTGGCCTCTTTGGGGCTTACCTGCCCCAACCGCGTTCGCTGCCTCGACGGGATTGGACCCAGAGGACGCCTAGCGGCCCCTCCTAGTTTAATCCTCAAGTTTTATCACCGCCAGAGTCGCAGGGGAGCTGCCTGAGCTTGCCCCCTGGGCCTCTGGGGAAAAGCAGGCCGGCTCACCCTCTGCCCACTCGCCCACGCCCCTCGTCCGCTCCGCCTCCCCCACCCCCCCAGATCCTCGGAGCGACCCCCCTGCCGACGCTGCACAGCGCGTTCCTGCTGCGGAACCCCAAAGCCGCCTCTGGGGAGCCCTGCCCCAACACCACCTTTCTGGGATGCCAGGAACACCCAGCGGCTCCGCCCGTCAGCCTGGCCAAATTCTGGGTCCTGTCTCCAGGTTAACAAAAAAAGATATATTTATTCTCCCCAAACTTCACGAACGAAGACACGCACCACCATGAGTGAGAACCGACTGGGCGGCATCGGGCGTTAACAAGTTAGCATTTCCTGTACTAGAAAATATGTAAAACCAAGCCAACAAAATTCTGACCGCTGACCATTTCAGGAACCAACAACCAGAGCTTGGTTGCTGTATTATCTATCTATCTTTCTATCTATCTATCTATCTATCTATCTATCTATCTATCTATCTATCTATCTATCTATCGTCTGTCTACCTACCTACCTACCTATCTACCTATCCATCCATCCATTCATTTATTTATTTTTGCCAGTTACCTTAGGAGCTCTGGTGGTGTTGTGGGGAAGGCCTGGGTCTGCTAGCTCAAGGTCAGCCATTGGAGACCACCAATTGCTCGGTGGAAGAAAGGTGGGGCAGGAACCGACAAGGGCAGTTCTATTCTGTCCTATAAAGTCAACTCGATGGCAGCGAGTTTTGTGGTTGTTCTTGTTTATTTGTTCGTTTATATGAGGCACTATGCAAGCATTTGTTGTCCTTATATTCTTGACTTTGTGTGTTGGTCTGGCAGGCGACCTACAAGTTCCCAGGCCTGGACCGTCAGGCAGTCTAGGACCCTAGGGCAGTTCAGATTAATCACAGAGGGACGTGGTGGCCATTCCCATTCCCACCCTCATCACCCTTCATAGACTTTTTGTCTAAGTGTATGTGTTCCCTTGAATTTGGGTCGCTTTAAATTTTCAAGACACTTTAAATTCAGTTCCCCCAACTTTGTCTCTCAGCCACCGGACATTAGGTTTCACCTCTGGGAGGTGGGGGGGGGCCGGTGTCTCTGCATGAAATAACCCTCTGAACCTTAGAGAAATCTCTACAAATGCCTCCCCACTCAGTCTCTTTTTGTAGCTCAACCCTAAACCCCCTTCCTCTCACCCTCATTCACAACTCCAAGGTTCCTCCAGTGCTAGCTAGCCTTGAAGAACATGTGAGTCACGATTTTCTGAAGATGGATGAGAAACGAAGCTGCATAACTCAGTCCTCACCCCTTCCACCTCACTCTCAGGGGAGTAGCAAGGGGTGAAGCATTAAGAAATTCAAGAATTCACCCCGCCAAAGACACTTTTCCAAAGGAAAGATTCATGGGTTAAGAAACAAGAGGTACAGCAACAGAAAAGTGGGTAAAGGGAGACATCGGACAGGGCAAAATATGAAAAAATAACAATTTATAAATTATCAAGGGCTCATGAGGGAGGGGGGAGGGGGGATAAAAATGAGAACCTGATGCCGGGGGCTTAAGTGGAGAGCAAATGTTTTGAGAATGACGAGGGCAATGAATGTACAAATGTGCTTTACACAATTGATGTATGTATGGATTGTGATAAGAGTCCTATGAGCCCCTAATAAAACGATTTTTAAAAAAACCAAGAGGGAAACAAGGAGGGTGGGAAAGGGTTCAGGGGGAAACAAGGAACTGGGGGGGGGCAGAGCTCATGCAAAGATTGTGGAGAGGCTTGTGAGAGCTTCCCAAGGAAACTGAAGAGCACTCCTTCATCACAGTACCTATTGAAGGAATCCAGGGGCTGGGAATTGGGTTTGAAAAACAGGCTGAAGAGTTGAGTTTTATACTGAAAGAGGTGGAGAATCTTCAACTCAGCCTATAAACAGAATTCATCTTGGGTGAATTCCTACCTTGTTAATGAGAGTCACGATTTTCTGAACGATGGATGAGAAACGAAGCTGCATAACTTTGGCTTTGGGCTTAATTTTCTTTTAAGAGTGAACAGTCTTTAAATTTTTTTCTTAAAGTATTTAGTGTTCCCCGATGTCCTACAATTACATAGATAGCTTCAAATCCTCAAGAGAAGTGGTTCTCAACCTTCCTAATGCTGCAACCCTTTAATACAGTTCTTCATGCTGTAGTGACCCCCCCAACCATAAGATTATTTTCGTTGTTACTTCATAACGGTCATTTTGCTACTGTGATGAATCAGGTGACCCCTATGAAAGGGTTGTTTGACCCCCCAAGGGGGCCACTACCCACAGGTTGAGAACCACTGTTCTAGAGTCCGATCTGATCTTGGCTATCGTCCAAATGACTAAAATTACCTCTGGTAGGATCAACAATGATGTGTGCTGGGGATGGGGAGTGGGGGACTTAATGTCTGAGTTGCTGAGTTTCCATTTTTACCTTCCACAGACTCCAAGTGTACAATCAGTAATAGACATATCGTAAAAAAGCACACTGGAGTTATTTTCAATAGCATCGCAAAATGCTAGGTGCAATATGAATTCTGAATACGAACTGAATGTGGTATTAGTAACTGTTTTGGAATTTCCTGCTTTGTTATAACATGTACTTGTCCATCATGTGTAGTATAATTCCTATTACAAAACAATACATTTTATTTATTAGGAAAAAAATTTACCTGTAGTGATGACTACTGTATAAAAATCACAGAGATAAGTTCAAGTTGCGTATATCCTTCCTAAATGAATTCTAATTTACAGTGAGTTTGCTGGAAATCTACTTCAAATATGAACTTCAGTTTGAATCTAACTAGCATTTGGTGTCTTCTGTTATAAAAGTGTAAATTATCATTAAAATGTTATAAAGCATAAAGAACTCCACTGGAGTACTTTTAATACGCTGTCCCCTTAAAAATATACATATATCTTTTCTGCAAAGTCAGTGGAAGTCATTTCTAGTAGGATAATGTGCCCCAATGCGAAAGGAACTTATTATTTTCAAAGTTTAAAGGGAAGAGCAGTTGGAATAAAAGCTCACAAAGAGAAAGGGGTTTTAGACTAAAGTGCAGGACTGCTGTAATCCAGTCATGTACAGTTTTAAGCAGAAAACAAACTTAAGATTCATAAGAGCTCCCCATTTGCAGATAGAAGGAGGCCTTGCTGTAGAGAGAGGAACTAACCTCAAAAGGTGAGCTGACTCTTGGCCCAATGGGACCGGCTACTTCCCCAGCTCAGCGCCCACAGGTGCTGGGCAGGACCACACCTGTGCAGTATGATGAGGCAAGAGCATCATACTGTCCTCGCACTGTCTGTCTCATGTTTGAAATACATGTGCTCATGAGAAAAGCTGAATTTCAGAGAGAGGTCTTCTCTCTTTCAAAAGAAGGAAGCGAATACATTACTGGGATTTTATTTCTAAAAATAAAATAAATTTATTTCTAAAAATGAAATCGATGAAAGCTTCTGACATGTGAGTATAGATTTGTATAGTATTTTTCATAGTTGCCGGAGCGAGTAATTTGTTCTGTCACTAGTTGTCATCCTTACGATAAATCCTAAATAATATTCCTAATGCATTTCTGAGAAAACATGACAGCATTCAGTTGGGTCACTATGGGTGGGAATCAACTTGATCGCAATGCATTTGTTCATGTTTACTTTTCTTCTCTCTTGGTGAAGAGTCCTGGGGGTGTAGTGGGTGAGCACTGGGCAGGTTGAAACCAACAGCCGCTCCTCGGGAGAGAGATGAAGATTTCTACTCCTTTAAAGGGTTACAGTCTTGGAAAACCCCAGGAGTAGTTCAACCCTCTGCTATAAGGTCACTACCATATAAGCTGAACTCGATCCGATGGCAGTCGAGTCTGGTTTCAGTGTCTCTCTTTGGGTTGGAAAAGGTTCATCCGTTTCTCTGCCCTCGACTGCCATCTTCCTCTCTGACAATTCCTCTGCTAGTCCCACTCTGGCCTCCGGAAAAGGATGCTGCTCATTTTTGTACCACCTTTCCCAAATAGTGACAGGAGGCCCGTCCCTAATTTCTCAGAACACCACTGAGAACAGCCTCACATGCTGGATCATTTTTGAAAGACCCCCCAAATTAGGGGGGAAATGGATGGAAAGTTCAAGTGAAGAGCCTGTCGAGATGGCCTGGTTCCCAGGAACCAACCAGAACACTTGTTGGCTTCATTCCTCTCTCTTTTTCCCCTGACCACGCTGTGGCAGGTCTCTATCTGTCTCTTTTCATAAATCAGTGATTCAGGAATGGTCACAATGCATTCAGCTCTACAGGGCATGCAGCCCTTCAGGCTCTCTTAAAGAAATAGTCCTTTAAAGGAGGGCGGAGTCGCCATCTAATCATTTGTCATCAGGCTGCAAAGAATGGTACCGTCTACACAGGAAACGAAACCTCACCGTGTGAGTGATATATTCTTTTAGTATTTATCACAAACGGTTTAACAATGCCTTGTTATGGTGTGAATGTTTAGTCTTCTTCATTTTTGAAATCAACCCACAATTCGGCACTTGGGTTTTCCTCAGACAAAAATATCATCTGTGGGCAAGACTACCTCTTCCCCTGGACAGTCTCATTCTCCCGGAGCTCACAGGTGCGTCTATCTGCTCAGAGGGCATTGCTCAAGCACCACAGCCTACAGGTGTCAGTGGGCTGGATTCCAGATCTCATGTGTCATTTATTCCATCATCATCCTCTGATTCACTGCCCCATCAGCCTTCTCTTTTCCCAGAAGTTTAGGAGCACCTTC